AAAAAGGGAGGGTTAAGGGTTACATAGGCTATAAATCACGGGTGCAAAACGTTTTTAACCTGTTTTATTCAAATTAATATTATGGGATAAAAAAAATTTAATTCAAAAACTAAAACATGACTGCTAACACTGAATAAATGAAGAATATTACACAATACATGACTATTAACATTAAATAAATTAAGAATATTAAACAATAAAATTTTATTTATTCAATGTCACCCTTTTATTGAAACTTCACAAATACCACCATTGAAATTGACAAACAATCAAAAAGCACAATGTTGTGGCAGAATGGTGCAAGAATTTGGGGACATTTCTGGTTATGTATTGTATTATTGTGTTTCAATAAATTTGTTGATCGGAGTTGCGGCTTTGATGGGAGACATTGGTGGGATATTAAGGGTTTCACATCGGAGAGTTGGGGCTGTAGATACAGGTTGAAATTGCAGGCGAGGTGTTGATGAGTTTGAGAAAAAATTCACTGAATCTGGACTCGAGATTTAGTGAACCTCGAACTTCGCAAGCCCTCAGATACAATTTCTCATTGACGATTAAACGTATCGTAAAAAAGGGAATTTCATTTTATTTAACAATATTGTGGTCTTTGATCGAAATTATTTTTCATTTGGTTTAATAATCATTATAAAATAATGGAGTGATTCAACAATCTATTTTGATTTTTATTTCAATATTTTCTTCATTGAAAATTCATTGCCCACATGTATCATGAAAATGTAAGTAATGTGTAACTAATACATTGGGTATCCCTCCACAACTGTAAAAAGAATATCACTCCTCGTAATTACAAATTTGGCATAAATTGTATAATATTGTTGTTTGTTAATAGTTATGGATATTTAAGATTAATCAAGTGTAACATAGAAGAAACTTAAGAACCATCCTCAATTTTAAGAAAAAAAAATTAAATATAATCCAACAACTACAGTTCAAGTAATACATAAAAAAACCGGAATGAAAAATGAAATCATCTATTACCAGATTTCACGTGAACACGTTCAACTTTTCCATATTTGGAGAACGGTCGTTTGAAGTCCAAATGGCTAACCTCGAATCCAAAATAAATTTATTCCTATCCAAAGTGCGTGTCAGACTTTGAAATGTATACTATAAATAAGCATGCAGTCTGGAATTCCTCCAGGAAACCACTATATAGATCAATGAGTCGGGATCATCTCATGCAAAATAATGTCGTTGAAAATAAATGATCGGGTGAACATAATCTTCAATTTTAGCACTCCATGTCGAATAACCAGCAGATTGAAGCCAAAAATTGTATTTAAATTTTATATTCCAATAAATGAACACATCGAGGCATTAAAACTGATACACTAAAATACGAACTTTGTACTAATACAAATTGAAAATAACATACTAAAATATAATTATTATTGTAGATTTGAAAATTGTATCATAAATAAAGGTTTTTCGAATAAGGTAATTTAGTTAATTCTAATAGTGTAATAATAGATAATAATAGATTATAAAAAATAACGATCATGTACTCTTTGATGGTGAACCAATTCCATATTATGATCTGAGGCGGCTATCGGAGAATCAAAATAAATAATGCAATTAGAATTAGAAGTGATGTAATTGTAAAAAAAAAAATGAAAATATTAAGGATGCACTATTCATCCACCCATTATGAGTCAAATAGAAGGTTTCATCGAATTTGTATTCGAGATCTACAGACAAACATAAAGAAAAAATTAAGGAATAAAGAATGATAAATTGGATTAATAGTTATTAAATTTACACTTTAAACAAGATAAAGTATCTTCATGGGGAATTAAACATTGTAGAGGCTATTGCAAGAACAAAGATGGAAGAATTTAAATAACCTTATTTTCTTCATTTTGTTGCCTCTTTGATGAGTCTCCTAATAAACATCATACGATTATTTACTATCTCATAATATTCATACATTATATATATACACACACATTATATATATTTGGAATTACATGATATATTGAAGGGTCTGTTTTTTTGTTTTTTTTTTAGTTTAATCAAAACGTGTGTCATGAATGTAACCTTTATGCAAATTATTGAGGGGAATTGCATGGGCTTTGTTGTATAATTGACTTGTCTAATACTCTAATTAAGTTTAACATTCCGGTGGAATTGGATGCCCCTTTTCCATTCAAGAATCCTAATAGTTCAATTAATATTGCATTAATAATTATCCTAATTAATATGTATTAACAAATTACTTGATTGTAACCGGCAAAAAATAATCATCATTAAAAGTGTAGTGGGCAAGTAAAATAAGTATAATTATTTAATATTATTTCATAGTAATAATTATTCTAATTAATATGTATTAACTAATTACTTGTTTTAACACAAAATATAATTATCATTAAAATGATAGTGGACAAGTAAAATAATTATTATTATTTAATATTATATCATAGAAGTGGCGTTTTTTTTTAGTTTGTTATTGTTATTGTAATGTATATTTACCATATTATCCACCAAATAAGTTATTGGGCGAAGGGTAATATTGGACACACAAAAAAGGGAAGAAACCATTACCAATTATTCATACTTTTATAGTAGGTATAGACTAAATAAAGAATAATATTAATGAACTGCAGTTGAAAGCTTTCATGTTTGGATAACATCTATTTGGGATAAAGAATACAACTCAATTTATACAGGAGATATCAAAGAAAAGAAAATGGTAAATCCAATAATTAGTATACTTACATTTATAGCCATCTCCACCTTTTATATTTACATCACATCGGACAATTGAGGATGACTAACTTCGTTAAGTTGGTGAGACGTAGCATGGCTTCCCGAGACTGCAGATATCGCAACTTGTTGCATTCGACTAGTGTTATTGTCTCTATCGAAGAAAAGTTATTGTTCCCGAATAACCAATCAGGCAATTCTTCTATCTCACGAAAATCAGTTAACTGTAGCTCAGAAAGAACATTGAGATGTTAAAGCTGACGCTTTGAAAACAAGGAAAGGAAAGCCTAAAAACAAGTTTCAAAACAAGGCTTCTTCAAGTAATAATAACCAAAATCACTCTTTTAAAAAACCTAAAAAGAGCAATGTGAGGAGTAAGAACAAAGTTAAAAGCACAAAATATTACAACTATGGAAAGCACAACCTAATGTTGTAACTGATAATCTTGGTGATGTGTTCATGATTGGTGATTATGTGAATTAAGTTATTTTATCTCTCTATGATTGGATCTTTGATTCTACATGCACAGAGCATATGACCCCTAAAAGGCTCTTATTCTCATCCTATATGAAATTGAAAAATGGTAATGTGTCCATTGTTGATAGCAGTGGTATAAATGTAATTTAAATTGGAACTATTTGCCTTAAGTTTGAATTTGGTTTTGAACTTCTACTTAAAAAATGTTAGGCATGTTCCTAATTTGAGTAGTAACTTATTGTCTTTTATTGTGTTAGAGGATAGTGGTTTGCATGGTAATTGGGACATGTTTGCCAAAGGATTATGAAAGGTGATCAAGTTATGTTTAAATTTGTTAGAATGCAAAATCTTATGTGTTATGCTTAACCTATTTTCCATGCTAATTCTGTGAAAGAGACAAGGATGACGAAGGTACTAGAGAGAGAAGGAGACAAAAAGAGAGAGAAGCACACAGCTGAATGAGCTGTTAGTGTTGAGAGGGAGGAGAGTAAGGGAGAGCAAATGAACGTCCAAGATCAATCATACAAGACGGACGATCAAGATCAGATTAGACTTGGATAGTGGGCTTAAGTTGCTTGGGCCAAATTCCTTGATTTGGGCTGCTAGAATTAAAAGTTTGGGCCCACATCACGAAATTCATTTGTGGACTCACTTCTCAACAGTATTAAATAAAATTGCTAATATTTTTATTATACTTTATAAATATAATTATATTTTAAAGTTGGAGATAGATTCAAGAGAGTTTTATTGTGATCCTTTTTTTTTTTGCTCAATATTTAATTTGATTTACTCTGATGTGTCGATTGCCATCAATTGACATCGCTCGTGAATTTATATTCGATCTTTATTTTTTATTCTTTATTCATTCTATAAAATAATAATAAATATTTATATTAATGAGTATTACAAATAAAAGAATGATAAATCACGCTCTTTTGACTTTTAATACTAAATATTTTGCTTTTATTGTGTTAAAATTTTGAAAGTCCATTTACTATTAGATTTTAAATTTTAGCATGTAAATCATAGAACATTTGTTGTTTAGTTGTAGATTTTTCAATGCTATATATTTCTTACTTAGTACAAATCAATGTCTCATAAATATGTGTAAATTATTTAATATATTAATATTGATAACATTTTAAAGAAAAAAAATTACGACTTACAATTCCTTACGAGTTCCACTTGTTTGTGGAAATGCTTTAATGAGGATTGTTCTGTTGACCACAAACTCAGATATGTTTCTCTAACATATATTGTAACGTAATGGTTATACTTTGCTGGCATCTCTAGTTTTGTCCTTGTTTGAATTTTCCTTCTGTCGATTTCCAAGTTGGAAAGGTCTAGTATAATCAACGACTCAGATGGAAAGCTCGACGACAAGGTGAGTTACAATGAATAGTATATACTTTTGGGTTGATGATAATTTTTCTCCGTGTTTATTTTGATTTGATTATATGTCCTGCATATTAGTTGGAACCTAGCTCAAATCCTGAATAATGAAGAAACTTCTCTGAATTTGCCTCAAATTTCAGAAACTTGATTTAGTTTTGTCTGGTTTGGGTAAAGGATTAGTCTCTTTTTATTAGAGAACACGAACCTGAATTCAATAAGGCAAAAGTATATTTCCAAAATCTAAGTACAAAACTAAACACCGGAAGAGTTTCCATCATACTATAACTGATTCACATTACAAAAAAACTTATTCAAATTAATATATATATATATATATATATATATATATATATATATATATATATATATATATATATATATATATATATATATATATAGTACTTGGGCATAATCTTCTGTTTCAGGCCTAATCACTACGGGAAAATCGACCTTTGATTTTTTGCAGCTCTGTTAGAACTTCTTTTATGTCTATTCTATCACCAGAAGATTCCGCACAACACTTCAAAGCCAAATCTAGTACTGAAGACACACATTGCACGTTTTTTTCAAAGCCTTGTTCGTTTTCTGTATTCAATAAATTGGCATCTATAACCTCAATTGATGACTCGTTATTAAGTGAGCTTTGAACCCAATTCTTTAAGGTTAAATCTCCATCAAACATATCATCACTCGGTTTTTTTCTCGTAAAAGTTTCCATCACCATCACTCCATAGCTATAAACATCACACCTTGTCGAAACTAGCCCTTCCAAACCATACTCTGTAAACAACAATAATATTGTATAATGCAGTAAATGATCAAAAGTGAAATCCAATTGATAATATATAAAAATGACATGGGTTGAAGTGAGAATATTAACTAACCTGGTGCAATGTAACCCATTGTTGCTAGGGTGTTGGTGTGCATAGTGCTCTCACCTTCGCCCAACAATTTTGCTATCCCGAAATCACTCACGTGGGCAACCATCTCTTCGTCTAACAATACATTGCTTGGCTTCAAATCGCAATGAACAATGAGAATCGAATAGCCATGGTGAAGATATTCTAACGCACATGCAACATCGATCATTATGTTCAATCTTTGCATGAGATCCAAGCAATAGTTGTGGGAATATAGCCATTTGTCGAGGTTCCCATTTGGCATGTATTGAAGTACCAGTGCCTTGAAATCCTCGTTTGAGCAACTGCTAATGACGTTGGTAAGATTTCTGTGACGAATGTTGCGCAATACTTCACATTCGACTCCGAAGCTTATACAAGCAGCTTCCGACAGCGAATTGAAGACCTTGACAGCGAAAATCTTCCCATCTCTTCGAACGGCTTTGTACACAGAACCAAAACTCCCCATGCCTATTAAATTCGTCTCACTGAAGTGTTCAGTTGCTTGTAGGAGTTCGTAATACGAAATTCTTTCTGGTACAGTGGGAACCAACCCGTCAATTCCATTGATTGCCTGATTTTTTCTTTTGTATCTTACGAAAATGAAGGCCAAAGAGAGAAGCGAGATCAATAAAACAACCCCACTAACAATAAATAAAGCTAAGCGCACATTTTTCATCCTTGGCATGTGTTTGGAAACATTATTGTTGCAAAGTGGTACATTGAACCTTGGAATTCCACATAATGCATCATTCCCTTTAAAAGACTCGATAGTGAAGTTTACGAAAGGACCCCCAGTGGGAATTTCTCCTCTTAGAGCATTAAAAGAGACATTAAGGTAGTCCAGGTATTGAAGTTTTTCAAAAGACTTTGGGATTGAGCCGGAGAGGCTATTGTAAGACAAGTCTATACTTATCAAACTGATCATCCTCCCCACGGAATCGGGAATAGAACCTTTCAGTAGATTATGTGCCAAAGACAGAGCATTCAAAGATATTAAATTTTCAATTGTGCTTGGAATAGACTCCGAAAGCTGGTTCATTGATAGATTGATTAGAATTGTTTTCAATAAATTACCAATTTCTGGAGGTAGAAATCCAATCAAAGAATTTGACGAGAAGTCTAAATACATCAAATCCGTGAGGCGCCATATACTTGATGGTATGCTTGAAGTCAGCATGTTAGATTCTAGAGACAGATCTCTTAAAGATGTGATATTTCCTAAACATTCGGGTATTGGACCGAAAAAATTATTTTGGCTTAAATATAAATCAACCAAGCTGTGTAAATCACAAAGACCCTCTGGAATGGAACCTCTCATATTATTGTTATATAAATATAATCCTTGAAGCTTCTGCAAATAGTTGATAGTAAGTGGAATGTTACCAGACAACCCGTTCATGTGTAAAGAAAGTTTCACAAGGCTGCTTAAATTACCGACTTCTGCAGGAATGACCCCATTAATGTTACAATTGTAGACATATAAATATTGCAGCGAGGTAGACAAATTCCCAATGGAAGCTGGAAGGATGCCACCTAAAGGATTATCACCAATTGCGAGCACTCTTAATGATCTGCAATTTGTCAAGGAAGTTATGAAGCTCAATTCCGAAGAAGTTGATTCGGTCCTTAGATTGTTGACGGCTAGGGTTATATATTCAAGATGTCTTAGGTTACCTAGCAAATGAGGTACAAAACCAGTGAACTGGTTTAAAGCGAGTTGGAGAATTCTGAGTTTAGAACAATTAGTGATGGAATCGGGTATTGTTCCAGTGAGGTAGTTTGTATGGAGATAAAATGTCTCAAGAACAGATAATCCGTGACCTAAATTAGTTGGAAGACTGCCTGACAGACTATTTTCTGAAAGATCAATATCTATAAGATTTGACATGTTAAAGAGCACTAATGGAATAAAACCAGTGAAGAAATTGGAGTATAATTGTAATATTTTCAGTTGGTAAATTTTGCCAATTTCTCGCGGTAAACCACCTGTCAAGATAAAAAAAAATTAAAAATTAAACATTGCAACTATAAAGAAAGTAATAATATTGAAAGTTGCTAGAATCCTATTTGAATTCTAATTTCATGTGGGGATAATATAAAATAAAAATTCAATATTTATCTCATTAGGAGACTTGAGAGAAGGGGGGAATTTTTTAACGCATACTCCCTCTGTCTCATATTATATGTCTTTTTAGAGAAACTTTTTTTCCAAATTATTTGTTATTTTAGATTTTCAATGAAGCATTAATTGCATTGTTTTCAATTTTACCCTTAATCACTCCTATTTAATTAGTTGAGAATCAATTAACGTCGAGGATATTTTAGTTATTGTATCAATTTTTTTTTACTATAATCTAAGCACATTTATTGATTTTCTTAATATGTGCAAAACAACTCAAAACGACATTTAAATTAGGACCGAGGGAGTATATTACACATGTTTGGGCGGGTGAATCCAAGAAGGGAACTTATTATTTTATTGTATTAAATGTTATTTATTGGTAATTTGTTTTATATGAGAGTAGTTGGTTTATAAGGAAAAAATAAAATCTTCCATATCTTAATATATCTCCTACGTGATTAAGAATCTCTAACATAAATTATTTTTTCTAGTCTTACTTTTGCTGCTCTCTCAAAGAGAGTTTTTCATAAGAAAAATCAAGATTCAAACTTTGCTTAGAAAAGAAGATCGGTTCTTCAGGAGAGCTTAGAAGACTCTCGGGAAGAGGTCGATCCGCCGACTGAGGTTTCAGCGTTAAAGGGAGTTCAACTGTGCAGAATGGAGAACCAATTATAATTTCGAGTAGTACACAAAAACGACGTCAACAAAGAGAAGTCTTTGCATTTTGAATAAGTCCTATTATTGTATTCGTAAAAATGAAGTTAGTAAATTTCGTTTGCAGGTCCCCATGGATTAGGATACGTTTCTATCCGAACCACATAAAAATTTGTGTCGTTTTAATTACTGTTTTATCAACCGTTGCAACACTTAACAAAACAGTAACTAAAACTGATTCTAGAATTATTTTGACACAAATTACAATATTTGCACGAAATAATTCTAACACAAGTCTTACCTGATAAATTGTTGACTGAGATATCCAATTCGTTGAGTTTTGTAAGATTCCCGATATCTTTTGGAAGGTTTCCGTACAGATGATTGTGATATAGTCGTAAAAGCTGGAGAGAAGAAATATTGAAGATACTGAGGGGAATTGTACCACTAATCTGGTTTTGATCAATGGCAAATTCAGTCAGGTTCTGAAGATTCCCAATCTCGAACGGGATAACACCTATGGAACACCAACAAACCAAAAGCTCTTACAAAAATATATAATCATCATGATAAGAGGTTTCCAACTTTCTTGAATGAAATTGTGATGGAGCTTGAAATTAAAGAAGAAAGAGAAAATCAATGTCAATTATAATGACATTGTATTTAAACAAGAAATGTAAAACTATATCAACCTTGTTCAACAAGAATGTGAGGTATCGTACCATTTAAATTGTTGTTCGCGAGATGTAATATCCGAAGAAATTTTAGCTTGACAATCTCTCTAGGTATCTTCCCACTAAATAAGTTGTCGGACAGTGATACCAATCGAAGTTGTGAACATTCGGATAGATTTAACGGAAGTTCGCCACTCAACTTGTTGAAATATAGGTCAATTTCTTGAAGAAGTGGAAGTTTACTACACAAGTCACTTGGAATGCTGCCAGTCAATTCGTTTCCTCGGAAAGATATAACTTTCAAGGCCGACAGGTTAAATACGGATGACGGTATATGACCGGAGAGATGATTGTAGTCCATGTTTAAAGTGTGCAGATTGTGAAGCCTCCCTAACACATGTGGAATATTTCCTTGAAGAGAATTCAAAGAAAAATCAACAACTCGTAGATTTGTCAGATTAGAGAGGGAACTCGGGATGAAACCGGTAAAGCTATTATTTTGTAAGGAGATAAACTTCAATCTGTGTAGAAGAGACAATTGTTGAGGAATAACACCACTGAAAAGGTTGAAACTAAGATCGAGTGAAACAAGGAAGGAGAGGTTTTCTATTTGTGGTGGAATTGTGCCCGAGAGACTCATGTGGGAAATATTCAATGCAGTCACTCGATGGTTGCGCAAATCGCAGGTGACGCCAATCCAGCTACAGATAGAGCTCGAATTGGTCCAGTTGCTTGTAATAATACCATAAGGGTCCAAATTGACGTGTGATTTAAGAACGAAGAGAGAGAATTGATCTACGGCGGGGGTGGTTGATTTTTTTACGGCTACGCAAGAACACGATATTTGGAGTAGGACTGATGTACATGCAAGAATGTAATAGCAAGTTTTCTCCATGGCTGTAAAATACAATGGTGATATCTGTATAGAGAAGAGAGTTATCCAATTCTTGAATGCAAAGACAAAAGTCTTGAGTTTATGATTTGTATATAGTTTCGGTTGAAATTTATAAAGGGAAAACACATAAAAAAGAAAGTAGGGTAAATTATACCTACACCCCTGAGGTATGTTAAAATAGTTTTAAGGTCTCTATAGTATCGGTAATTACAATCACTCCCCTGAAACATCGTTAAAACTGTAACGGAATAATGCATTAGATATGTGATTCAGATAGATTTCTAACGGACTATTAGTTTCAGGAAGTGGTGGAGACAACATCGAGTTAGGGGGTAACATGGCTCCCCCAACATTTCTTAAATCACCCCTAGCTCTAGGTTGTCTCCACCACTTCCTGAAACTAATAGTTCGTTATAATTTTATCGGAATAACGTATCAAATGCATTATCCCATTAGAGTTTCTAACAATATTTCAGGGGGTGATTATAATTATCAATACCACATAGACCTTAAAGTTAGTTCAGCATATTTCAGGGTGCAGGTGTAATTTACCCTAAAAATTATAAAGAATTAAGAATTAATAATAAAAAGTCAGAATATTTTTAGTGAGAATCTAATTGAGTGCAACAAATGACCTTCGCAAATAGATAAATTAACGGGTAAATTGCACCCACACCCCTGAGGTTTGCTAAAATAACATTGAGGTCCCTGTGGTATCGATAATTACACTCACCCCTGAAACATCATTAGAAATTGTAACGGGATAATGCATTAGATACGTGATTCCGATAGATTTCTAACGGACTATTAGTTTCAGGAAGTGATAGAAACAACATCGAACTAGGGGGTGACATGGCTCCTCCAACATTTTTTAATCACCCCTAGCTCTATGTTGTCTCCACCACTTCCTGAAACTAATAGTTCGTTAGAATTTTTATCGGAATAACGTATCAAATGCATTATTCGGCCATTAGAGTTTCTAACAATGTTTCGGGGAGTGGTTGTAATTATCAATACTACAAGAACCTTAAATTTATTTCAGCATAACTCAAGGGTATAGGTGTAATTTACCCTAAAAATAATAAAGAAGTAAGAATTAATAATAAAAAGTTAGAATATTTTAGTGAGACTTGAGAATGAGATAATTGAGTGCAACAAATGACCTTCGCAAATAGATAAATTAATTAAGTGGCAGACAAAAGAATCTCTCTCTTTTCTTTTTAATGATAGCCTCAGAAATTTTACCCGTTCTCTTTACTTGATTATTTCATAGTCTTCACTCTTGGTTTTATTTTTCCAAAGTGTTGATGTAAAAAAAAAAAGAAAAAAAAAAGAAGGTAAATTACATCCACATATATGTTTAAATAACTTTAAGGTCCCTGAGATATCGATAATTACATATCACACTCCTAAAACATTGTTAGAAGCTCTAATGGGATAATGCATTTGATATGTTATTTCGATAGAATTCTAATATACTACTAGTTTCAAGAAGTGGTGGAGACAATAAAAAGCTATGGGTGACTTAAGAAATGTTGGGGGAACTATGTTACCCCCTAACTCTATGTTGTCTCTACCATTATCTAAAAGTAATAGTCCGTTAGAACTCTATCGGAATAATGTATCCAATGCACATTATCCCATTATAGTTTCTAACTATGTTTCGGGGATGAGTATAATTATCGATAAGCATACCTCAAGGGTGCGGGTATAATTTATCCTAAAAAAAAGTGTAGTCCAATTTCTCTGTTTTTTCCACAAACTTGACAAATTTAATGCCAGCAGCCAACAAAGACTTGTGCTAACTGGTGGAGGTTTTAGAAGCCATTATATTTTATATATACTGGCAATTTTTTCTTTTCATTGTGCCAATCACAAGGTATCCTGATTTTTTAATACGCACTAATCAGAAAATAATAAGCTTATTTAACAAACCGCGTTATCCTTTGTAAAAAGTGAAAAATGTAGCTGAGAAAAGAGGCAATCTTTCAAAAAGATACGTCCATGGAAATAAAAATTTTATAATTTCATATTGCACTTTCGGGGCCATCTATTATCTCAACGGGATGTGACATTATTTTTTAATTTTGTACCTTGCACAATATCGCACTTGAATGTATTTTATTATGCACGCGTATGTAATATCATATTTGTCATGTTCATCATGTACGCGTGATCAAAATTCAACTCGACCTTAGGAATCTATCCTCTAATGGAGATTGGAGATATGTACATGGGAGTATACTCTGTTAACCTCAAATTTAAATGTCTGCAAAATAAATTACAAGACAAGAAAAAATAGGAACAAATAAATATATTTAATCAAAACGAAATGGTTACAATCTTTGTTGATTCCTCTTATTCATCTCCTAGATTTAATCCAAGGGCCGAAACTTGTTCTTGAATTGAAAGCGTGATTCATTCCTTGATTTGCGGAAGTAGATATGGATATCTAGAAATCCATTTGGGGATTTCTAGGTCTTTGTGGATATGGCGCCTTGATGAAGAGGTAGAACCTCCGCGGTTGTTGTTCTTCGTCGGGGCAAGAGCTCGAGACTTGAGAGCTTTTGAGTGCTTGATGTACGCCTAGCTTGATGCTTGATGTCCTTGTCCCCTCCCATTTGTATGTGTTTGATACCTCCTTTTATAGGCTCGATTTAGGGTTTCTCGACTTGAAATTTGGCCGGTGGACTTGGACACTTGCAAATTCATGTGAGCTAGCTTTTATAAGGCCGAATGACTAACCCGAATAAGTAAGGATCTAGTGTTTATTTTGGGTTAACTCACATAACACATTTGTGAAGTACAAATATAGTGTGAACTTCCACATAAAGCCCACGGGCTATGATTTGAGATCCAAATTAGTATCCGATTTATTTGGGTTATTAATTTGTAACTTAATCTAAAAAAATTGATACAAGCCCAAATTTTTTGTGGCCTTTTAATCGAGATCTGAATTAATAACCAATTTATCTAGGTCATTAATTCGTAAATTTAATTTCAATTTTGATGCCAACATACTCAAAATGACTTGATATTGGGAATCACACCATCCGGCATCCAAGAGAAACTATACGTGGATACACTCAAAATACATCAATCACGGGAATCACACATTTCGAGAGAGAGATATATGTACAGTGGGTGCAAAATAACCCCAAAACCGCTTGAGTTTGGGCTTACTGTTAATAGCCTCTAAATTGGCTCTTGGTGGGTCTTACTACGTCTTCGAGCTTTAGGCTGGAGTTATATTCCGATCTTTTTCCTTTAAATTGGCTTTTGACGGATATTACCTCGTATTAACTCAACGAGCTTCACGCTGGGATATTTTTTTTTTTTTTACGGCCTTAGCCTTTAAATCATTTTTTGACGAATATTATTACGTCTTGACTCAACGAGCTTCAGCTCGGAGTTATATTCGGGATTTAGCCTCTAAATCAATTTTCTTGTTTCAACGATTTAGACTCGGAGTTACATTATCAATTTAGCCTCTAAATCGACTTTCTTGTTTCAGCGAGCTTAGGCTCGAAGCTATATTTGATTTACTTGATGGGAATTCCAACGGCATGACTCAACAAGTTTTTTAGCTCGGAGTTATATTTATGACCACTATACGGTCTCTGTTAAACTCTACGAGTACTATGCCGAAGTTAATACGATAGTCTCTAAATCGACTTTAAACGGAGACTATTATTTATCTAACTCCACGAGCATCAGGCTCGGAGTTAATCTCATAGTCTCTATATCGACCTTCAACTGAGATTATTATGTCTTTTACTCGATGAGCATCATGTTCGAAGTTAATATCTTGGCCTCTAAGTCGACCCACAAATCTGTTAGAATTAGCATTTGCTTATAGCACAAGCTTGCAAATATATTGTTGGAACCACGGCTGCAATTTGACGATTGATCATAAAACTTGTGGATGAGGCTTGGACTCCATTTATTCTCTAATTTTATAGGTAACAAGTTGCTGCAATAAAAACCACGATAATAGTGGAGATAGGCAAGGTGAGGCGCGGACTAGGTCGCTCTCTTAAGACGAATTTCACGACCCCTTCTCTAATGAGGTGCAAAAAGGTTCCGATCGTGTTGCCTATGGGATACAACAGCCCAGCCTATCTCTCCGCTGTAACTTCACCGAAATTGCACGTTCGAGTGAAGTAGAAGCTTACACCCGACACACAACAAGAGCTCTAAATATATGTATATAGTATAGAAGAAAAGTGTTTCTTTTTCGCTTCACTCTACTACGTTGCAAAACCACAAAGTCCCCCTTTTTATAGTATAAAACATGACCACCATAAAACCTCTATTTAATATAGAATTAAAAGAAAATATTGAGGTTTTATGTGACAAAATAAAGTCTTTGGAGGTTTCAAAATATTGCTCTAAATGATCTCATAAATTGGTCAAAAAAAATATTTAATAAAATGTTATTTTTATTAAAAATCCCAACATAAATTTCAACGGCAATTCAGCAAATATATTAATTATATATGTATATACACAAAACCATCATATCCTTTGAAAAATGATAGCGTATAAAATACCGAAGTATTCGCACACAAGCTTGCACATATATATTTCAACAACAATTCAGCAAATATATGAATTATAAATGTATGCACACAAATCCATCATATCCTTTGAAAAAAGAGTAGCGTATAAAATACCAAAGTATTCGCTCATCATTCTCGTTTATCTTTTTGACAATAGTATTAAGGATCTAAATTTCCGTAATATAAAATAGAAAAAAAAAATAGCAAATTCTTATCAAGCAAACGTCGTGCTTACGTGTTATAAAATAATCCTATTAATCATAAAAATATAAATACGTATATTATTAACAAGCATAAATGAGTGATATTGCTTTGCGAGAAGTGGAAATTTATAGAAAGCCAAAAGCTTCTGTAATTCATTTACATTGGTGGGGGCATATATTTATCAGTGTTCTAAGTATTGGTTGTGGCGGCCGATATATCGGCCGCCATATTGGTGGCGGTAAGCCTTTACGATATTTGTGTGTCAATTTTGAAAATTGGTTTTTTGACTGTGAGGCGGTCTGTGGCGGGTCAAATCGATATATCGGGTCAAACTTCGAGCGACATATCGAAAAAATATTTTTTTCTAATTTTATTTATTTATTTTTTATTAGAAGGAAAATAGGGTGTTTATTATTATTTCTTTTTTCAATTCCAACTCATTATCTCTTTCAATCAAACCCAAATTCAGCGATCCCGTAAGAAAAATCTGGCCTAGAAAAACAAAAATACAAAACAATCCAGCATTCTCTATCTCACTATTAATGCTAAATGTTTGTTATGTGATTAGAATATAAAAACGATGAGGAGCGAATCAAGTTCAATTTTGTTTTATACGTTAAAGTACTTATAGTTAATATTTAGAAATATATTACACTAAATCAAAAAACCGATTTATTTCTGATATATCACTGATTAATCACCGTCGCACCGATTTATCGTGTGGCGGTCCCAAACCGCCTCGGACCCGATAACCGATATTTAGAACCTTGATATTTATTAAAAAAAACCACAAGGCTTTATCATCTATCAAAAGATTAGCACAAGTCATTTGGATTGGATATAGCTATCAAAAGATTAGCACAAGTCATTTGTATTGGATATATGTTACAATAGTAAAAAAAATTGGTAACTTGAAAAAACTAGTTGAATCAAGAATACATATAGACAAAATAATATAAAACTAAATATTTTAATATTTAATAAAATTAGAATTAAAATAAATTATCAATGTCACAATTTATAGATACATGATTTACAATTTTATACTATATATTGATAAAACATAACAAGTTAATTGAAAAAAATAATAATAAATACTAACATAAAAAATCAACTTCAACAAAAGCATGTGTGACAGAATATCACTAGGTAATAAATTTTCATAATACAACAAAAGATACCATTCAGCTATTATTACATGCATGCCATCATTCTCATTTTTGCATGCCAAAACATTCACTAAGCCAATTCACTATTACATTAAGCCTTAGTTGTAAGTGCAAAAGTTATATAATACACAGCAATAATAATAATAAATCCGATTATCAAGAAGAATCAACCAAGATCGGGAACCGTGAAGAACTCTTCGTCGTCGTCTTCGATCCTAGGTTTCTTGTTCGGGGAATAGTATTTTGGCGCTCTGTAATAAGAGTTCATGGTATTGGATTGAGACATCGGTAGCTGCGGTACTTCTGCCGCGTCTAAAGCCTCTTGTGGAACTTGTTCGCCGAACAGATTCATCTCCGTTAGCCACTCCAGCTCGTTAAAATCGAGCTGCTCCTTCTGCACACGATTAAATCAAATTTAAATAATCAATATTATGTAAAGTATGCTGACCTAATAATCACGATAGATTTTTCAAAATACTACAGTGAAACCTCTATAAATTAATACAGACAGGACTAGGGAAATTCTATTAAATTATCGAGTTAATAATTTAAAGACGTTTTCACCGAATCGGGACCGAGAGAAACTATTATTTAATCAAGGTTATTAATTTATTGAGCATTAATTTATCGAGGTTCTACTGTATGCCCATAACGTAGTAAGTATCATGTTGCAACTGTTGTCATAATATTAAATTCATAAGGTCGAAGCTTCGACGGAGAAATCCGAAATCGGAATGATCCCATTAAAATTTGTATTTTTCGGGCAAAAAAATCTCGAAAGTACGAAAATATTTCTGATCCAAATCAAAAAATGTTGTAAGAAAAAAAAATATTAAACCCATAATTTTATAAAGTCGAAACGTAATAAACCAATCAGATTAAGGGATTGTCGTAATCCCATCGAAATTCATGAACTTTCTTGAGAAAAAGAAAAAATCTCGACCCAATTAAAAAAGAACGTTGAAAAAATAGAAAAACCTAGAACAAAAAAACGAAAAAAGAATAGGTGGACTTTCGGAAATTTCATTCAAATTTCAAGGCCAAGTCATTATATATTGAAAATTAATATAAGATTTTTCGTCACAAATATAATTAATTTAAAAATATGTTACCTTGTCTGAAGAGTCATACGAAAATTGAAGCAAATCGTCAACAGCCCAAGATGGCGACGAGACAGCAGAAACATTGTGCGGCGTTGTTTTCAGACCAATCTGTTGTTGTTGTTGTTGTTGTTGTACGTTTGACTTTGGCGGCTTCGGGTCCAGTTGACTTTTAGAAGCTTCTTTATTACAACTGCTATTCAAAGCTACTTTAATTCCAGTAGCTAAGAATCGCTGGTGGTTAGCAGCGCGGCTATTTGCCGAATGAATTGCATCGTCACAATCTTTGCAAAACATTGCTCTGTCCTCAACGCAGAATATAAATGCCGTTTTCTCCTACACGATTTTCACAAGAAAGACAATACATATAGATTAGTACTCGGTACTTGAGTGTGTTTCGAGAAATTATTAATACACAGTTTCTTTCTCTTTAACCCGAGAGTGCCGATCGATTCTTGTTTGAGTTCGAGTAAATAGATTGACAAATTAAAGAAGCTTTACAAGTGGTTCTTGATTTGTTGCAATATGAAAAAAATTATGCAATAAAAGATAATTAAGTAACTTTTTTTTAATAAAAGATAATTAAGTAATATTCAAAGAAGGCTCTGCAGTAACTGATATGATCTACCGTCTCAAAGGAAAAAGGTATGCTTTATTAAATATGCTTCATAATGGATACGGTTGAGTCGGGACCGGATGAAATTAATATTTAATCGAGTCGGGACTAGAAAAAAATTATTAATTTAGCGAAATATTACCGAACTAATAATTTAATATGTTTCATCGAGTCGGGGCTGGGAGAAATTATTATTTAAACGAGTCGGGACTAACAAAATTCTATTAATTTAGGAAAATATTAAATTATCGAACTAATAATTAATAAGTTTTCATCAAGTCGGGACCGGAATAAATTATTATTTAAACAAGTCGGGACTAGCAAAATTCAATTAATTTGGCGAAATATTAAGTTATTGAACTAATAATTTAATACGTTATCATCTAGTCAGGACCAGGAGAAATTACTATTTAAACAAGGTTATTAGTTTATCGAGGATTAATTTATCGAAGTTCTACTTTATTTAAAAATAGAACAAAACAAGGTGGTCCAATTAATCAATGATATTTTATATTATTCCAATAACATCTAAGTTTATAAAACCTCTATAAAATAATTCAGACCGCACTAGCAAAAATCTATTAATTTAGCGAATTATTAAATTATCGAAATAATATTTTAATACATTTTTATCGAGTCAGGATGGGGATAAATTATTATTTAAATAAAATTATTAATTTATCGAATTTCTAATGATTCAAAAACAAAAACAGAACAGAGCAAGGTGGTTTGATTAATCAGTGATATTTTTATATTATTCGAATAACATCGGGTTTCGGGTTTCCGGTTTCGGGTTGTTCAGATCTCCATTTCATGGCAAATAAATAATGAGAAAAAAAAAAAAAAAAAAAAAAAGGGATTGACATACTTGGCAAATATCACAGGAAGGAAGCTTGTTAGATAAACATTCGAGAAGCAGCCTCTGATGTTTGCTGGCAAGTTTATTAGCGGCGTGAACCTCCACGTCACACTTGGCGCACAGCGCCGCCTCATCCGCGCAGCAAATCACCGTCGCCGGCGCCTTCTCGCACACATCGCACTGTATCTTCATCTCAATACACACACAACTAATTATTCAAATCGCAACCGCTAATTATCCGCAGGAACAGTCGATTTGAAAATTGGAGATTGGAGAGAGAAAAAATATAATTAATTTATTTTTATGGAGTGATGAGTGAGAAAGAAGAAGAAATAAAGAAAGAAGGGAATCTTTTTTTGAGGGTTTGGTGGACGATTTAGAGGCGCTCGTTTATGGGGGGAGATAAGGGTTTGGGTTTTATGCGCGTATCAAAAGCAAGTAGTTGGTTGAGAAGCAGCAGCTAAATCTCCATTTGTGGCTGTGCTGAAAGCACCCTTTTTTTTTGTGGCTGTCAATTATTTTTGTATTATTTTAATTTTAGAGAGAGAAAGAGAGAGATTGCGTGACTTTGTGCAGCGCAGCCATCAATTTGAGGGGCTCACCCACCCCAACTGTACTCAATTATTATTAGGGTTTTTTGCAAAAACCACCCCTGTGTAATCTCTAATTGCTGAAAAACCCCTCGTGTTAAAACAATTAGCAAATACCCCCCTATGAAAATTAGTCAAAGTCAATAAGGTCCCTGCAAGCTAACGGTGCGTTGCACTCGCCATGAATGCGACTGGGATTTCTTTTCTTGACCAGAAAATACCTAAATACGGCATAATTTATATAAGCACTAAAATGATTTTTTTTTTAATTTTCAATTGAGTCCTCCATATTTTCAATTAAGCTCTCTTCAACCTCAAGAACATCCACTTCTTTACCATGATTGTTTTCAGCAAAAACCATCAACCAAACCCAACTCTGAGCATCAAGTTCATTTCTATTCCAAATCAAGTAGAACAAAAGGGAAGAAAAATGGATCCTCAAGCTTTTTCGGCACAACCCAGAAAAATACAAAAACATTCAGAGCATTTTCTTCCAATTTCTGAAACTTAAATCGTATCTGAGAAATAAGAAGAATGTCAAACTCGAAGAATCCTTTCCAGCCACTGCACAGTTACTTCGCCAAACTCGAAGCCGACTCTCCGGATCCACCACCACTACTGCCGCGCCGCCTTTGAGTGCCACCACCGCTTTTGTAACTTCTGAATCCACAATTTCCGTCCATCGAAATTGTCGTCCTTACACTTTTTTCTTCCAATCTACAAAAAAAGAAAAAAACATATCCTCCCACCATTGACAGCCAACCATTCTTCACGGGACTCCTTTTTCTAGTGAGTCAGAGACGTCCCAGTGAAGGGGGAGAGAAGATGCCAAGATGGTTTGGGCCCATTTGGGTGATATTATTTTTTTTTTATATTTTATTTGTTTAAAACTGAAATATTATTAAATACTTATTAGGGGTAGTTTCGTCATTTTCATATAAGTCAACCATCAAATTTGAAGTAAGGGGCGGTGTGCTTCGTAAAACACAATATAGGGGGGACCTTGCTAATATTTTTAACATGAGGACTTTTTCGGCAATTTGAGATTACACAGGGGGTTTTGTGCAATTAACTCATTATTATTATTAGGGGCTTCTTTTTTTTTTCAAGAATCACCCCTGTGTAATTTCTAATTGATGAAAAAAGTCCTCGTGTTCAATATATTAGCAAACATATCCCTATAAAAATTAGTTAAAGTTAATAAGGCCCATACGAGCTGAATTTGTGTTGCGCGCTCGGATTTCGGTAATTTTTAATGTGAGAAGACTAAAATATCCTTTAAAACATAAATTTAGAAAATTATAAATTCAGCCTATAGTTTTTGTAAGACCCAAAATAAAAGTTTCCAAATTTTTCTTTTATATTTATTATTAAAAAAAAAATCATTTTGTTTATTTAAATTGAAATGTTTTTTTTTTATTATTATTAGGTGTAATTTTGTCATGTCATTTAAGTCAAACACCAATTTTAATGTGAGGAGGTGTGTGATTTGTAAAATGTACATAGGGGGTTATTGTTAATTTTTGTACGGGGGATTTTTCCGGCAATTATGTATTACAGAGGGGATCTGTGCTAATAACTCATTGTTATTATTTTAGGCGTGAATTAGCAAAACACCCTTAAACTAAGGTTAATTTACAAAACAAAGCTCCTTGCGTATTTGTAACTACCGAACACTCCCTGAAATTTATTGTCGTCTTACATTGCCCCCTTATGATTTGATCGTTGACGGATTTTTATTTTTTATTTTATTTAATAGAATATTTCTCAAGAAAAGGAAATTAGTTCAAGGTTAAGGGGTCGTTCGATTACCTATGTTAGTTAGTTTGGATTATATGAGATTGAAATAATTATCTACTAACTAATCAATTATTCAGTTAGTAGAGTGTTCGATTCGTAGGATTAGAATAGTAGCATTTAATGGTCGGATCGAATTTGGGTAGCGGAGTTTGAAAAAGTATAAATCATGTCAACCAAACATGTTACTAAGCCCTACTATTTAGTCGGTAGAATCTTATAGCAGTAACTGAAAATTTATAAGAGGAATTATCACATTCGAAAATTTTCATTTTTTTTTATCCAAAGTGAAAAATTAATACAATTTCGTTCCAAAAATAATCGGGGAAAATATGGAATGAATTTCTTTCATTAAGAATATAAAAAAAAATCTGAAAATTATCGAAATATCACTGAAAAATTCGTCAGATAATTCACCAAAAAATCTACAAATGCCCTCGCTGCTCACCAACCGTCGTCGTCGGCATCCGCAAGGGGCTGCCGAATTCTTAAGATCTTCAAAGACAATCTTCAAATATTTGATGGATTTTTCATAATTAGATTTTAGCTCAAAGAATTTTGATAATTTATTACCCTATTATTTATTGAAAGTGTCCTATACAGTTAAACCTCTATAAATTAATACAGTTGGGACCATCAAGATTTCATTAATTTAGCGAAATATTAACTTATCGATAAATTAATAATTATTAATTTATACATTAATTAATAACTTATTAATTTATGAAATTACTTTTATTATTATTTTCAATAAATATATTTTTTTTTTTAAATTTACGTGTATATTATTCATTGTACCATTCATTCAATGCACTATAGAGCCCGTTTCACGAATGGAAGCTCTTAAAACAGTAATGGTATAGAACGATTTATGTTGAGTTATGAGAAAACTATACCGGAAGTTCTAACCATGTTAAGAAAAGTGAGGGACGAGATTGATGGTAATGTGAACTTCTACAAGAAAACAAGCGAGAATTAAAATATATTATGTTAAGCCTTCATAGATCTGTAAAATATGCATTGTATAATGTAATTTAAGAATTGTTTTTATGCATTATTAATTTATATATTATATGGGGCTTCTTAAAATTTCCGAATGTGTATTATCTTATAAATTTAGCGAATTATTAATTTAGCACGTTGTCCCCGAGTCGGGACCGAGAAAATTTATTATTTAAGCGAAGTTATTAATTTATCGGGTATTAATTTATCGAGGTTCTACTGTATCTTTTTTTTTTTTTTTTTTTTATCTTGATTGCAGGATTGAAAGCTAGAGAGATTCTATTCAATCTGAACTGTTGGATTGTTTAAAAAAACTGTATGGTTGGTGGGTATCAGTATAGATTTTTTTTTATGTGTTGTCACATTTGCCCTTTTTCAGTTACACTCCACTATCATATTTGATCTTAAATATCAAGTGAACATAAATTATTTGGTTGAAAATATATCTAAGTTAGAAATTCTCGAACCACCAATATGTTTGCGCCTATATTTGTAAAATAAAAGATCATCTTTCACAAAAGATTTTTTTTATATATTTTCCAAAAGCGTATCAGTCTCCATTTCAGAAGTTTAATATGCAGATTAGTCTGTCTGGTAAGTGAAAAATACTAAAATATCATTTACTTTATTTTGATTTTACATAGTTTATTCTCAACTCACAACGCGTTGTTTGGATTACACGTTCTTCCTTGCTCGTTACAGTTTAAAACTCAACTATCATTTTTTTTTTTCAAACAACGAACGAGAAGGAAACCAGAGACCCAAGAAAAACAAAACTCCTTAATAAATACATCACTCTTGGAAAAAAAAATACTCCTGAAACCACAAGAACAAAGAAACAATGGCCCATAAAAAAGAATAAAGCAAAATGAAAAAAAGAAACAAACCCATTTTCGAATGGCGAAGGGGAAGAAACAACAAGGTTTGATTTTATTTTATTTTCATCATTTTCGAAAAAAAATAGACCCATTTGTGTCTTGATTAAGTTTGCAAAAAAACGGTAATTTATTATAAAATTGCATGATTCTGAACATCTCCATTCATGGATATTATGCCTCGACGACATCGATGTTTCCCCAAAAACTTTAAATTCGTTCTAATATCTATTGTTTTGTTGCTTAAGTTTGCAATTGTTTGTTTTACGGGGATTAATGATTAAATCAAACTATTAGAGTCAAATTACTTTATACGTGATTTGATTTGAAATCAATTATTTAAAAGTCAATAAGAATAAAATTAATCAAGTATCTAAAAAAAATCAAATTACACAATCTCGATTCATGTTCGGCTCGATTATACTTGTTCGATCTCAACCCAGTACCAATCAACCCAAACTTAAACATAATTTTGAAAATTCGATTAGAACTGAAATCTATATATAATATAAAAAGAGAATCTATGCCCTCAATGATTGACATGTGGCAAATGATGATGTCATTTATCAAAATTGCTTAGTTGGAGTTCAATTGATGAGGTGGATTATTTAATTGGTGAGTTGTCAATTTAATTTTGGTATGTATTTAAGTTATTTCCTATTTAACATTTATACACTCATTTAAACAATTACCACATGTATATATATTATTTCCAAAGTAAATATTTTATAAATTCGAAATAAAAAAATCTTATTTATATTTTCAGTATTTCAAAATACATTTATTGAAAAAATTCACGATACTCAATTATTTTACGAATATTCAAATAATTTTCAGATTTTTTTAATAGTAAAATATTAAATTAAAGGAATACAATTGTTTTTTTTTTGAATATTCAATATTTTGAAATATTCGAATATCCATCCCATTAAAAATAATTATAAAAAAATATTTTAATTTTTAATTGTACTATTTAATCAATATACAATATTTTTTGTATATATAACTTCTATTATATTGTATTTCAAATAATACATTTTCCAACTTCTATAATACCGTATTTCAAATAATACATTTTTAATATGCTATATTTAATATAAAAAT